CAATTGCCCTTAAAAAGTCCTCATAAAAATTTAAAGAGAAAAAGTTTAGAAAGGAAACTCACTTGTTTTGTTTGTGGTTTTGTTTTACGCTTTTTAAAACTTTTATTCTACGCAAAACAGCTTTGTTTTGCATTGCGGCGGATCCATGTGATTAAATAAGCCAAATAAACATCCAAAATCCTTATACAAACAAGACTAAGGAAAGAAGTTACATTTTTGTAATACCATTTGGAAATGTGCCATGCATGCGTAGGTGACTTCAATAGTTCCTTTTATGTCCTTACTACAAACATTAGTAGGAGTAGCATCTCTGTAGCAGTATCGTCGCGTAGAATTCCCAGTCCGATGAGGTCAACAAAAAATTTCCCGTCCGGGTGGGGGTTGATGTTTTGCCGTTTTTTTTGCCGTGACATTTCTAAATGAAGCATACATGAGTTAAGAACAACAAAACGGTCAAAGAGTACTGGAAACAAGTTTGTAAAATAAGAAAGATGGCGGCCGAGTTTCTAAGCGTGTCAGTTCTGAGCTCGTTGCTGGTCATCGAATTCTTTCAAATTCCGTCCAGTGACCATAGCTTGGCTTCTAATGATGCTCGGTGGATTGACAAGTTGAAGCAGGATCCGCCTCAAAGTGATTGTTCGCCGGCAATATGTCTCTCACCAACGGCAGTAGGTGTTCGGTATGGACAAAAATATTTGAAAAGACGATTTTCGTATGGCTGTAATCACCCAGACTCGTACAACCCCTCCGTCATCACCAACCAGGAAGCCCACATGATTTATGGAAACATGGATCAACGGCAAGGAAACACGGAGAAAAATAGAACAGCAAAAAACGTCCAGGAGCCACGCAAATTACTGAATTCTTTTCAAAGGCTTCGAATGCGGGTAAGTTATCAATTAACTTGTTAATATCAATGCAATTTTTTAAAACTGCCACATCCCCATGTGCAAGAGCCGTCACACACAGGTAGAAGAACGAAGGTTGCGGCAACGAACTTCTGATTTCGATAATAATTTTGCAAATGAAACATGTCCAGTTTTATTGCAAAACATGCCATTTATTCAGTCATGTACTATTGCCGTATCATTAATTCCTGCTGAATTTGTAAGATAATTTTTACATAGAGGGAAATGGAACGCCGTGATCCTGTAAGAGATAGCAGCTGCACAGCAACACCAACTGCCACCATTGATCAAGCGATCACAATTAGTGACAAACCAACGCAAGACTTCATTTCCCTTTCTAAACAACCACCAGCACGACCAGGACCATCTCTTTGATAAATCCTATCAGCCATCCGATTTTAAATACCCCCAAAGAAGTTTACTGGTAGCAAAGATCGTGCGTTCAAGGCAGATTGGTTTAAGCAATTTTCATGGCTGCATTACGATCAAAAAACCGACTCCGTACTGTGTTTTATTTGCGCTAAACAAAATTCAAAGGAACCCTGAAATCAGTAACAAAGAAGAAGGAGACATTTATCACAAAGGGATTCAACAACTGGAAAAGGGCCCTACAAAAATTTAAAGCGCATCAACAATTAAACTGTCACAGAACGGCTGTTGATTACGAAATCAACATTCCACAGTGCGGTAATGTTTTAGAGTTAACAAACGATCAGGAAGAAACATATTGGAAACTAATCGCGGTTAGTTGTTGAAAATAGTTGAAAACTTGCATTATTTCTGCAGGCAAGGCCAACCAGTACAAGGGAGTACCGACAAGGAATCAAGTTTTTATCAGCTTTTAAAACTGCGCGGAAAGGACGATCCTGGACTGATTAAATGGATGGAAAAGGAAAGCGGTGATAAGTATACAAGCCGTGATATTCAGAACGAAATCATAAAAATAATGGCTCATCAGCAGCAAAGGGATCTTGTGAACGATATCGGTTCGAATTTCTTTTCAATTATTGCCGATGAATACACTGTCATAAGTAACAAGGAGCAACTATCGATTTGTCTTCGATGGGTCGACGAAAATCGTGACGCCCATGAAGACTTTTTTGGTTTCTATAATGTTCCAAACATTGAGTCCGATACCATTTTCTTGACAATCAAGGATGCTTTGATTCGCTTACAGCTGTCACTGTCCCAATGCAGAGGGCAGTACTACGATGGTGCAAGCAATATGCTGGGCAAAAGGAGCGGTGTTGCTAAGAAAATACTGGAGTGTCAGCCAAAGGCACACCCAACCCACTACTATGGCCATTCCCTTAGTTTAAGCGTGAAAGATGCCACAAACAACTGCAAGATACTTTCGGATACAATGAACACAAACAAAATTGTTAAACTTGTTAAGTTTTCCTCCAAACGAGATAACATACTGGGGGACATTAAGGCAAATCTCTGCTATGAAGGGGACCAAGGGGAAGATGTTGCTGGTCTAGCGAAGTTCAGTGCCACGCGTTGGACTGTTCGGGCCATTTGCTTTCAAAGAGTTATTGAAAACTACGGGTTTTTGTAAAATCTCTGGGATGAATGTCTTGAGAAACGATCGGACTCAGACGTTCGTGGCCGTGTTTTAGGCTGTCAGGCTCAAATGAAATCATTTGACTTCTTTTTTGGCTTACATCTGAGTCAACTTATATTTCGTCACACGGACAACTTATCAGCAAAACTTATCAACTCCGCAAAAATCAACTATGTCGGTAGTTTCTGGACAGCACAACGCCAAACTCACTACAAAGGCTCTGAAACGAATGAGAAGTGATGATTCTTTCAAGACTTTCTATGAGACAGTCTTGAAAAAGAAACAATCATTTCTTGACGTTTTAGAACCTTAACTGCCAAGAAAGAGGAGGGCTCCAGCACGATTCGAGGTTGGACAAGGTGCACCGTCCTTCCCTAAAACATATTTTGAAGCGCTTGATTTGCTGTAAACTCGTCAGACACTTCGTCAGAGATCAGTTACATCCGTGAACATTACTCTGATGACATAAGGATGGAATATCTGATTCCACAACTGGATATTTTCAAAATTTTAATGGACGGGGAAAAACTAGAATGTTTTTCAGACATTTTGAAAGCGATTAAAAATGTCGATTCTGCTCATACAAGTATGATCAGTGAGGTGATACAGATCTGTGTTCTGATTCACGACAACCCCGCAACAAGTGCTTCTGGCGAACGTTCGTTTTCAACAGCAAAGCGAATAAAATCCTGACTTAGAGCAAAGATATCGCCAAAACGCTTCAATCACGTGGCGTTGCTAAACTCCCACAAGACCGCTACCGATAACTTACGACTTGTGGATGTGGCAAGCGAGTTTATAGAGAGAAAAGAAAACAGGAAAAGAAACTTTGGTACTTTCACAGTGCAAGATCTTTTACCAAGATCAGTGGGATTCTACAGACTAGCTTTGATTTCATCGTTACTTGTTACTGTTGTTGTTTTAACATGTTCATGTTCAGTTGTTTATAGCGTATCACTGCTTAATGACAACAATGAGCACTAGTTTCGACTCAATCCCTAACCTCACTTGACTGATTTAACATGAAGTTGAGCTTCTGATGTTTATAACGCACTTCACCTTATATAAATTGATGATCAATTTTAAATTCATTTCTAGCGATTCTAGAGGCTCAAATTTTCAAAATTTTTCGGGCGAGCATGCTCCCGGACCCCTCTAGATGACTCGCGCCTTCGGCGCTCAGGATAGTTCCCCCCAATCGAAAACTTTCTCCGCGGTCCCTGATTTATACCCTGCGAGCAGAGGCCCCTCGATTTTCCTTGATAAAGTCGGGAGGGCTTAAGGAGCGTTGCGTGACGAGACAAAACCGGAACAATACTCGAGCCTCGAACGAATCGAGTTTCGAAACGCGAGAACCGAGTCTTGAGTTTAGAGAAACCAGCATTTTTTATATTAGCCACTCGAAAGGATTTCGAGAAACGATTTATTTACCGAGAAACATATAAGCAATGACCACTCGCACCGACCAACAGCACTTGCGTGTTTAGTTTTTAGGCGATAAAAAAGGACCAACGAAAGGTTTTTATCTGGAAGTTTGGAAGTAACTCAGTATTTTTGTATCAAGTCTATCTTTTGAACTATCAACATTGAACTGTATATATATATTTGTAAGGGTTTGTATTTGCGTGCGTCGCACGCGACTGCAGAAATTAAACAGAGATTGAAATATGATCTTGAATAGCCGCTTTCAAAAACTGAAATGTTTTTGCCAATTTGTCAAACGTTACCACAAGACGCACAGCAAAAAATAGGAAGGCGTAGATAACGGTGAAAAAATAATGATAAGAGAAATCTCCCAGTGTACCGTTCGTGTTCGTAGCAAGATAGAAAACGCTACAAACTTGCAAAATTTAATAGCGTACTGAAACCGCCGATGTCACGTGTAATTTGAAACCAGCTTGCTTCTCCACGGATCGTGACTTTTCATCAGTTTTTACTTCGTGCAACAGCGACCTAACGTTTCTAACGCTGAAGGAAAAGACATGATTTTGTTATCGAAGTTTTATCGAAGATCATTAAATTCGTTCGACGCCATTTTCAGACGAGAAACTTCAACTGCTCTGCAGTGGAAGTCACAGAAGCGATTTCAAGACATAGTGCGGTGTGTTTACCTTTTATCGGCGGAAATATTTTTTTGGCCTATGGCCGACGATCGAACGTTTTCCGTTTTCGTTTCAAAGTGTAGAATGAACAGGGAATTTTGTTGGTTGTTCACTGGAAGTTAGCCTGAGAATCATAAGCTTTAGGCCCCCGTTCGGGCTCCCTGTGTGAAATTTTGGTCGGCCGAGGGTAAATCGTAGGCGCCTCTGGTGCCCGGGCTCCCGTTACGCAGCAATCCTTCGTTGCTTCAAGAACGTCCTAACAGTAATTATCAAGAATTGATTATTGCCTTCATAAGTTAGGTTTTAGTGAGAAACTCAGCACGGCTTCCCTCTCCTTTCCTACAATGTTCATGTGGAAAATATGTAATAATTGCCAGATCGTTTTTTTTTTTCAGTGATGGTTAAAAATTTAGCACTTTTATACTAGTAAGTTTAGTTCAGAGCGTAGAATACTACTATCAGCCATTTTGTTTTATTTCCATGGTTGTACCCATGTACACGTAAGCTTAGCCTATGGGTCATTAGTGCGCGTGTGCAAACCAAAGTGAATAAAGCCGTATCATTATTTATACTTTTAAGTATTAATTAGGCCGTGAGTATAGCTTTGTTGTTTTTAATCACAATTTCGCTATCGTTTTCTTTTTCATGCGAGGAGCAAAGCCAAAGGGCAGGGGGGACTCGAGCAAATATTTTTTCTATATATTCTTAAATTCACTGCATGTTGTTTGAAAAATGGAAGAGCGTATTAATGTTTTGGATACCTCATGCCTCCAATAACCGTGCCTTAATGTTTGAGCTTATAAAGAAATTTCTATCATCAAAAACAACTTTAAATGGTTGAATTATCGAATCGGGGGGGGGGGGGGGGGGGGAA